GTTATAATGCACCTTTTACGATTGAGGAGGTTGCTACTGAACGGATAAGCTATGTTAACTGCACGGTCAACACTCATAAGCATCAAGATGAATACCGAGCATTCGCTTGATAATGTGGAGATAGAGCCGGCGAAACTGCAAAGGAAACTGGTTTTCCAAGCCTCTGCAAACGTCGCGTACACCCCCCTGTAGTAAAGATCCACTCCTGCTATGATTATCATGTAAACCGCCATCAGTAAATCAGATACTGCAAGATTAGTTATGAGTATGGATTGGACATTAAAGTCGTTTTCCAGCAAGCGCAATATAATAACAGCTAAGTTGCCGATGAGGGCAGTAATTCCAAGAATCATCATCAGGATCCGCAAAGCTTCCCTCTTCAAGAGATCTTTACAAGATGAAAATTGATCAGTAGTCGGACGGCAGTCGGGAACACGTTTCATAATGCAGCAGATGCTGAACTCATCCGATAATCTGTGTGATACATTGAACGAAAATAACAAAATATATATCATCATCATTATGTTTGTTGCTGTTGATGGTAGTATTATTATAAGAAATTTGATTGTGTTAGTTGTAGTAGATGATAACCGTAGTACAAATTATTTATAGTAAGAACTTACAAAGTTTTAAGGGAAGTGAGTCCATCAAATATATCAGGATTGTAGGTCCTTAGCTCATTATTTTCCAGATTTCTGAATGTAATTTAATCAAATAAAAACTATCAAATCATATCTACGAGGGAAAAAATCATTAAGAAGTCTCATTGTTTTGTGAACAATTATTTTGGTAACTGATATTGTTTGTAACTGACACTAGAGCTGTAATCAGTATGTAACCAACGTAAAATGATAATTCTTATACATACATAATTATATAACACATACATGTATTTAATTTTATATAAAATAAATAGGTAATGTGTGAAAATGGTAAATGGTGTGAAATTAATTATTTGTAAAGTCATATATTCTTTGTATGCAATCGAATTGTCATGAAACTGATAATGTCTGATTGTCATAATCTCTAAATTATACTCGTCATGTGATCAATCACAATTGGTAAATGTGTTAGTTATCGATAACTCATCTGGAGTATTGTCGATAATACGTGAATTTAAGGAGTGGTTTGTAATTGATTGATATGTAAGAACAAATTCTACATTTGATTAGTCAGGCAAATACCTTAATTAATGTTCAAAAACAGATTATTAGAGATTATTAGACGATTGTCACTTACAACGTTTCAAGATTTTTCAAACCATTGAAGACACCTTGTTTCAGATAAGTTAATTTGTTACCACGCAAATTCCTCAATAAATGAGAATATACAATACGATTATTATTATTATTTAAAATAATAAACCATTAACACAAAAAAAGAGTGTAGCCTACATTTTTTATACTTTAAATCCAATTCACACCTGAATTTGTTCTCAAGACTAAAAATATCAACTCTAATCATTATTCATCATAACGGGCTTGGTCTATATAAGACATTACGGTACGTCTATACGAGAGAAAGTAAAATATATCAATGAGTGTATATAGACCGGTCGTATATGAGGTGTAGGTGTCACTTTTTGTAGAATTTACTAGACCAACTTTTTCTGGGGTAATTTTGGGCGTAGAATGCAAATCTTATTGTTGATCGGGACATTTCTTCGAATTTTGAACATGTTAAACATTTTTTTTATTATACGGTCACATCTGCTTTTGAAAAATTGGAACAGGCGTGGGACTCCATATCCCCGATTCATTTCTAGATTGTCGATCACGTTATTTATTCAATTGCTGGTTTATAATCGATGTGATACTTTATACATCCAAGTCGGATTCATATTGCTATGTATACATTTTCAAATGACAAGCATATTAAACAATTTTTGACGAATGTATGAAAACAGCATTAAAATGTTCTTCTAACACAATACAAAATACAATATACAGTCCGCCCTCCAATTCGAGACCACTCTGTGTATCTGAAATTTGGGGTGGTCTCGTAGTTTGGTCTCAAATTAGAAACCTCTAAATAGAGACGACAGGCTTGAAGTGGTCTCCAAGCAGCATAATTGGAGGATAACCGAACCTGAACCCAAATGAAAACCGAAGATAAAAGTGGTGTCCAAAAGACAACATGGGACAACCATTTATTTATTTCAAAGAAACTTTTGTTTGCCTTAATTTTTTTTTTAACTTCAAGCTGTTTAAAAAACATTTAAAAAATCCGAACAGCATACTGTAAAGTAAATATTGTAAACATTGACACTTTATTTGACTAAAGTTAGGTTTAAGTATGCAGGTGTCCATCCTTTAAATAAAGAAAGATGTTATTTTCTTTTGTGTTAGTTGGCCTTTCCTAGTATTCCCAATCTGTAATATGCAATTCTCCAATGAGTTTGAAAGTTCCTCATGGCTTTGATATAGAGGGGATAGAATCCCCGTAGTTGGACTCGTTGATCGGGGAGGTGGGGGGGGGGGCGACTAGGTACTTGAAGGGCCACGCCAACCTCTGTAAGGCCATGTTGGAGCTAAAATTGAATGGTCCTGCCCCCCTTTTGGCTACATGGCTGGATCCACTTTTTTTCACATCAAAGCGAATACCAACAGGGACACACTCAGATGACACACTTCTTACAAATCTTTAAATGACACCATTATGTCAGGTGTTTCATCTTGACTATATTTCCCCAATATTTTCACCTAATATTTGTTTTTGTTAATATAAAATAATAATGTTTGTTTTTAGTTCTAATTATTAACATATCGTTGATTATAGCAGGGGACTAAACATTTAGCAGGGGAATTCCCTCCCCCTCCTCCTTGGCTACGGTGCCAAGGATAGTGCAGCAACTGACTTTGGCAATAGGTGCAAACAGTTGTAAACCAGTTACCAGTGGCCTAAAACTAAATTTATAATTAAATAGCTTTTTTGAAGACAATACACTAAAGAAACCTTTATTTATATGGATATATTTATGAAAATACATTTGTTATAAATTCGAAGTTCAATTTCTCAAATTAAAAAGAGTATTTATTGTTTAAAAAATCCTTGAATCTGTTTGATTTTATTTTTTAATGTGGTATTGAATTGGAGGTCATTTTGTCACTTGGTCCGTCCATAATTGTGGTCTCGGTCTCGAATTAGAGGGGTCTCATAATTAGAGGTTAAACTCAGTGTTTAAAGATAGGTGGTCAGTTGGTACTTTGAAAAATGGGTCTCCGTATTAGAGGGGGGTCTCGAATTGTCGGGCAGACCGTAGTTATTCTTCCTATCTGTTGACTGCTGATGTGTAGTTGAACGCGTACTGCAGGAGCACAAGTCACATACGCACAGCTAAATGTAAATACGCACTTAGTATACTGATCATATTACTATAGCAACGGATGACTGCTAAACAGTAATTGGTAAATTAAAACTAATACTGTATACATTAAAAGACCGCGATTGACTTATAAAGAAATTAGTAGACTAGCGGAAATTAATTATACTTAGGTTAAATTTAATGCATTAAAAACTTTCAGAAATTCCTTTCTTCGTACAATAATGTTCCTATAGTGTACTATGCGGAGCTCTACTAATTGCTTATTATTAGTTTGGGACATGGACTATCAAAATCCCGACAACCGATATTTTAGTGGATTTACGCTTACAACGTTCGAAGATTTGTTAGATCACTGAAGACACCTTTTGTTACACCAGATATCTCGTTATTAGACAAATACCTTAAAAGAAAAAACAAAAAACGAGAAAAATTACCAATATATCAATGAGTATAGGTTTTCCAGTAATTGCCAATTACTCAGAATACTATACAGTAGAAATGTAACGTGAAGGTAAAGACTTCTGCCTTCTAATTCCATGGTACTGTGTTTTATTCGTAAAATTAGGATTTTTCCAAGAAAACAACTCAACTCTTACATTTATAAAGTTCTGTTTATCCTTAAATTATAAGGAAGTGTACTTATTTAAATATAGCTAAATATTTTAAATATAAATTTAGCATTGGAAAGTCTTAAGTAAAACATTTTAAAGTTTATAAGTATGTATTTTATTTTCTTTGTTGAATGGTCTTAGTTATAATAATAATTACTAATATACAGACTAAAATTTATATTATGGTCACAATTTGGTCATTCTTATTCTTTAAAAGATGAAGAATAATGCTTCTTCTTTTATTAATTGCACTCTGATCAAAAACAAACTTGGTATTATGTCCTATTATGCACTTCCACCAGCTAGGGAACTAATTAAATATGCATCATTGTCTTCTGTGATTGGTTGATTGTTCACTTTTCAATGCTTGGTGGATATAATGCACTGTTCCGGATTTTTTTGCTTTGGTGGATGGATATAATGCGTAACTCTTATATTAATTTCATATTTATAAACATTTTTTAGGGTATATGATCAATTCACATGATAGATTACATCCATAGAATGCCCCTAAGCCAAAAATCTCAAAATTCTCAACAATGGATATAATGCGTTTTTCCGAATCACGGCAGGATAACTGTAATATGTTTCATACTTTTTTTTGTTGTCACTTACAACTCTCGAAGACTTGTCAAACCTCTGAAGACATCAAGACCTAGATCAGATATTCTGTTTCCATACAAATTCCTTGAAAAAAGAAGATAAACTACTATGAATAATTAAAATTAAGAGTGAAGCTGGACCATTACTTCTTATCTGCCCTTTTAGACTTTTATTGGCTCCCGTAGGTGTCGTTCCAAAAATTCTGATCCAGGGAAGTACCGTATTATTCACGGTTTTTCCTATCCTCCTTAGGATATTTAAGACTGGTAATTCTGAAATCTTTTCAAGTACATCTTGTTTTATCTACAATTGCAGTCTAATTATTAGTGTGTTCCTTAGATAACGGTCAATGGTGTCTTTATGTCAAAACATCCATATAGAAGATGCGTTCCACGGTGTACCAGACAAGGGTTTCTTGGGATTAATGATTTAATTATAACCCACCATAACTCATCAACTTCTAAAATTATTTACCTAATAGTATTATGTGTAACACTTGAATAAGGGTACCCCTTTTTGAAAGACACTAACTGAAGATGTGAAATTGACTCCATGATTGTGATTCAAAACTGAGTACGGTCAAGGGTGCCTTTATTTCAAAATATCCATATAGACGATGCGTTCCACAGTGTACCAGA